CCAGCATAACCCGCTCTTCTGTTATTTCCTCTTTCCTTTTTCTCCTCCTCTGCCAAGGAAACTTGGTGTGTTTTTTCTCTATTGACTTGAGATTGTCTTTAGTCGCATGCATGCACATAAATTCTAAAGGATATTAGAATATTTTTATTAGTCAGGTAGTCTTCTCTCTCTCTCTCTCTCTTCCTCCCTTGCTTTCCTCATGTGTATGGAGGAGGCTCCACGTATGGGTCTATGCACACATCTTCCCTATATTGCAAATGAGTCTACTTAGCAAAAGAACTTAAAGGCAGGTCCTCTCCTCTACTTGAAAGATTGATGTAACAGTATTTTTTGTATAAACAAAAATAATCAGCCTTCCTTGTCCTATTTCTTTCCATCCAATTTGATCCTTGGACTGAACCAAGATTTTTTTTTTCTCTCTCTCTCTCTCTCTCTCTCTCTCTCTCTAGGCAATGAAAAATGTTTTATGTCAAATTCATAATTCTCCAGACAAATCATCAAAGAAAAACTTATATATTTAAATATTTCTGTTACTGTCAAGTACCTTTGTGTATGTGAACAGGTTGAGGTAGAAAACCTCTTGTGAGAGTCTGTTCTTTTTGTATTGGGTGACATAAAGCCGAAAGATTAGGAGTACCTTTGGTTTTTATCTTGAGAAGCCTGTCAATCATAAACTTAAAAAAAGACCTTGATTTTTGTACTTGTTAAACAATGTACCTGTTCTCTCCCTCCTTTCATACCATACTTGAAAAAGTAGTTGTATAACAGATTTACTTTGTACTGGTATTGACAGAGCTTATTTATTAATATTTTTAGTGGATACCTGTATGTGAGTATATGCAGTTTATTTTAAACAGTATTTTTTGTTTACCTGCCTGCATAGTCGAGAAAACATAATACAGAAAATGTGCCCTCCAACAAGATTTAGAAGTGGATGTCCCCTTTGCAGGATGAGCCACAGCCTGATCTGGATTGCTTTTACTGCTTGGTTACAAAGAGCATCCATCGCAAAGTATAGTGTTCTATTTTACCTTTAAAGCACATTGTTGTATATTACCATTTTAAAGACTTGCTGTTTGCCTTTTGTTTATAATGGTTTTTACTCATTTTTGGCTTCATTTTCTTTTTCTATCTTAGGTTGACACAGTTTTTGACTATTAAGTGACCTTTTCGAGCCAACTTCCATATCTCTGCAGCTCTATATTTAACTGTCCCTTGTACACTTTTCTCTAATGACTTGGACATCAGAAGAAAACTGTAAACGATAAGAAAGATTTTATTGTCTAAATCAAGCCTGAAAATGCTAGCCTTAAATATTTGGATAAAAATCAATAAGATGATTCAGAAAATAAGTGCTAGGCATTGTCTGTTTGAAACTGTGAAAAGATTATGGAATTGCTTCTAGCTCCTTCTGAATTTGAACAGATTAGAAATGCATATAGAAAATGAGGAAAAGAAGTGAATCTTTATTTTATGAAAATACTCCAATACCAAATTTAGGGTTGTAGCACCTGTTAGGGGTCCCAGCTATGGGCAAATAGTGAACCTCCAAACAAAAACAAAACACTATGAAAGTATAAAAATACATTTTTCTAGTAAAAATACCAGCAATACATTTTTATATAAAATAATTATCAACAATACCTATTTATAGCTGAATGACTAAGGGTATGGGTTTTTTTTTGTTTTTTTATGTAGTTAAAGCCATAAAATTATTTATTTATTTATTTAAACTTGTTCAAATTATTTAGATTTCAGCATTAAATGACCCATAGAGGTGTTGATATGCTTCTAAACAAAATCAACCAACCAAACAAACCAATGCCAAATTTGTTTCTTTTCCATCTATAATTAATAGTTTTGAGATCTTTAATGACCTGAATGAAATTCTGAATTTAGTATACTGCTGTTTCCATGGAAAACTATGCCTTATGTGCCAAATGAGATATTGTCATATGAAAGGGATATCCCATAGGATAGTTGTCCATTCTTTTTATCCAGATCGATTATAAGTTGTCTTTGATGACTTGCAGATTGTGTGACATTCGGTTGGGAACTAAGATTCATGCAGGCCTTTTACCAGCCATTGGATGGACCAATAAGTTTGTAACCTGTTGCAATTATTTTGATCTTAAATTTTTGTAGTTTTAAGTTATTTCAGAATATGCTGAAAATTAATATTCTTTTTCTTAATGTATTGGGTTCCCTTCAGAACACGAGCAATCATGGCTCTTCACAACTTCCTTTAAGGTTTGTCTTTTCACTATCTTTCCGATTTCCTTTACTGCCAACCCTTTGCACAAGCTTGTTAGGTAGATTATTTCCCGTTTTTCTCAAGCCTTCAGTATGTCCTATGAGTGTCAAATTCTCTAAACCAACTTTCCTCATTAGGTTTCATTGAAATTTCAGTTGTTTCTTGCTGATACTAAGTGTAAGCATTCATTTTGGTTTCATTTTTCTTAAAACTATGTTGCTGCTCACATCTTCAGTCTGTGGTATTCTCAGCATCCTTATGTAAAACTACATTTCTGTTGCCTCAAGATATATTTTGTTTTTTTTTCTTTTCATCATTACACTTCAAATCTAACAAGTGTGTCTTCTGAACCATCAATGTGAATTTACAAATCTATATGTGCCCGTTGTTGATATTTTTTTTTTATAAATACTCAAGTATTTGGCAATCAGTTATTAACTCCTTGGCACTAACTCAAACTGTGTTAGAAAGAAAAGGAGAGAGGAAATGTTTCCCTCAAAAACCCATGACACTAATTTGTGCTTTTTCTTTTCTCTTTATAATTAATAATAATATCTTCATGGTATTGTTAGTTTATTCATTTTCTTTTTTTTTCTTTTTTTTCTTTTTAATGGAGGCTTTCTTTATCTGATTTTGGACAATCAGTACATATCCATCTGTTGTTAGAGTTGAAAATACCTGCTTTCTTCATTGTTGTGTGTGAATAAATCTTTGCTATCTTCTGACTGCAATTAAATGTCACTTCTGACAAATATATTGCACAAATGTCCTTTCTGACATTTCAATCTCTCTTCTTTCTCTCTCTCCTGCTTTCTCCTGCTCTCTCTCTCCTGCTTTCTCCTGCTCTCTCTCTCTCTCTCTCCTGCTTTCTCCTGCTCTCTCTCTCTCTCCTGCTTTCTGCTGCTGTCTCTCTCTCCTGCTTTCTGCTGCTCTCTCTCTCCTGCTTTCTGCTCTCTCTCTCTCTCCTGCTTTCTGCTGCTCTCTCTCTCTCCTGCTTTCTGCTCTCTCTCTCTCTCCTGCTCTCTGCTCTCTCTCTCTCTCTCTGCTTTCTGCTCTCTCTCTCTCTCCTCCTTTCTGCTTCTCTCTCTCTCTGCTTTCTGCTGCTCTCTCTCTCTCTCCTGCTTTCTGCTGCTCTCTCTCTCTCTCCTGCTTTCTGCTGCTCTCTCTCTCTCTCCTGCTTTCTGCTGCTCTCTCTCTCCTGCTTTCTGCTGCTCTCTCTCCTCCTTTCTGCTCTCTCTCTCTCTCTCCTGCTTTCTGCTGCTCTCTCTCTCTCCCTGCTTTCTGCTGCTCTCTCTCTCTCTCCTGCTTTCTGCTCTCTCTCTCTCCTGCTTTCTGCTGCTCTCTCTCTCTCTCCTGCTTTCTGCTCTCTCTCTCTCTCCTGCTTTCTGCTGCTCTCTCTCTCCTCCTGCTTTCTGCTCTCTCTCTCTCCTGCTTTCTGCTCTCTCTCTCTCTCCTCTCTGCTGCTCTCTCTCTCTCTCTTTCTGCTGCTCTCTCTCTCCTGCTTTCTGCTCTCTCTCTCTCCTCCTTTCTGCTGCTCTCTCTCTCTCCTGCTTTGCTGCTCTCTCTCTCTCTCCTGCTTTCTGCTGCTCTCTCTCTCTCTCCTGCTTTTCTGCTGCTCTCTCTCTCTCTCCTGCTTTCTGCTGCTCTCTCTCTCTCCTGCTTTCTGCTGCTCTCTCTCTCTCTCCTGCTTTCTGCTGCTCTCTCTCTCTCTCCTGCTTTCTGCTGCTCTCTCTCTCTCTCCTGCTTTCTCTCTCTCTCTCTCTCTTTCTGCTGCTCTCTCTCTCTCCCTGCTTTCTGCTGCTCTCTCTCTCTTCCTTTCTGCTCTCTCTCTCTCTCCTGCTTTCTGCTGCTCTCTCTCTCTCCTGCTTTCTGCTGCTCTCTCTCTCTCTCCTGCTTTCTGCTCTCTCTCTCTCCTGCTTTCTGCTGCTCTCTCTCTCTCTCCTGCTTTCTGCTCTCTCTCTCTCTCTCCCTGCTTTCTCTGCTCTCTCTCTCTCCTGCTTTCTGCTGCTCTCTCTCTCTCTCTCTCTCTCTCTCTTCTCTCTCTCTCTCTCTCTCTCTCTCTCTCTCTCTCTCTCTCTCTCTCTCTCTCTCTCTCTCTCTCTCTCTCTCTCTCTCTCTCTTCTCTCTCTCTCTCTACCCTTTCTCTCTCTCTCTCTCTTTCTCTCTCTCTCTCTACCCTCTCTCTCTCTCTCCCTCTCTCTCTCTCTACCCTCTCTCTCTCTCTGTTTCTCTCTCTCTCCCTCTCTCTCTCTCTCTCTCTCTCTCTTTCTCTTCTCTCTCTCTCTACCCTTTCTCTCTCTCTTTTTTTCTCTCTCTCTCTCTACCCTTTCTCTCTCTCCTTTCTCTCTCCATGATGAGTAGAAAGTGCAAGTAGAATCAAAAGAATCCTTATTATTTATTAAACATGCAATAATTTCTGGTGATTCTTTTTGTCTTCAAATTCTGCTTTGCAATAATCAAGCTTGTTTTCTTTCTTTGCTATTTTCTTCTTTTTCTTTTTTTATTTCTTCTTAGCTATAAATTTATTCTGCTTTCAAGACATAATGCATCAAGCTCGGCTGTCATGTCTAACCTGTGTTATTTTTGTAGATTGATTCACAACCATTCTTAGAAATCATGTCCACATCTACGAAATTGGCTGACTTTACTGTTTCCTCTTGCTGCATTGAAATCTCTGCTTTTGATTTTTCTTTTTATTCATTTCTCTTTCTGCATTGCTTCAATTTTAATACAAAAATCTGGACAGATGAATAACCTTATTTATTTTTTCCCCAATTTTTTTTTATTCTTTTCTTTTCTTTTTGCATTCTTCTTCCCTTTTTTTTTTTCAAAAAATCCCCTTCTTTTGAATTTCCCTTCTTTTGTTCTTTTCTTTTTTTCTTCTTTCTTCCATTCTTTTCTTTTTTCCCTTCTTCTTCCATTCTTTTCTTTTTTCCCTTCTTCTTCCCTTCTTTTCTTTTTTCCCTTCTTCTTCCCTTCTTTTCTTTTTTCCCTTCTTCTCCCCTTCTTTTCTTTTTTCCCTTCTTCTCCCCTTCTTTTCTTTTTTTCCTTCTTCTCCCCTTCTTTTCTTTTTCCTTCTTCTCCCCTTCTTTCTTTTTTCCTTCTTCTTTTTTTTTCTTTTCTTTTCTTTTTTTCCTTCTTCTCCCCTTCTTTTCTTTTTTTCCTTCTTCTCCCCTTCTTTTCTTTTTTTCCTTCTTCTCCCCTTCTTTTCTTTTTTTCCTTCTTCTCCCCTTCTTTTCTTTTTTTCCTTCTTCTCCCCTTCTTTTCTTTTTTTCCTTCTTCTCCTTCTTTCTTTTTTTCCTTCTTCTCCTTCTTTTCTTTTTTTTCCTTCTTCCCCTTCTTTTTTTTTCCTTCTTCTCCCTTCTTTTTTTTTCCTTCTTCTCCTTCTTTTTTTTTTCCTTTCTCCCCTTTCTTTTTTTTTCCTTCTTCTCCCCTTCTTTCTTTTTCTTTTCTCCCCTTTTTTTTTTTTCCTTCTTTCTTTTTTTTTCCTTCTTCTCCCCCCCTTCTTTTCTTTTTTTTTTCTTCTCCCCTTCTTTTCTTTTTCCTTCTTCTTTCTTTTCTTTTTCCTTCTTCTCCCCTTTTTTCTTTTTTCCTTCTTCTTTCTTTTCTTTTTTTTCTTCTTCCCTTCTTTTCTTTTTTTCCTTCTTCTCCCCTTCTTTTCTTTTTTTCTTCCCCTTCTTTTCTTTTTTTCCTTCTTCTCCCCTTCTTTTCTTTTTTTCCTTCTTCCCTTCTTTTCTTTTTTTCCTTCTTCTCCCCTTCTTTTCTTTTTTCCCTGAAACTACAGCCAGTTTCACCATGAAACTCTGACAAATATATGCCACATCTGTGAAGTTGAATCAGAATTTAATAGGTTGAACATTTAATTTTATTTATTAATACACACATGCAATATGGACATAGGAATCAACACTGCATGGTGATTGTCAGTTTTGATATGATCTCGAGGCTTGCAGTGTTGATTCCTATGTCCATACTGTGTATGTCTATAAATGCTCAATCACCCAATCTCTCTGGCTATTTAATGTCATAAGTTCTGCTGTCACTCTTGATCAAGTGAATGGTGAGCAAAATTAATCATTGATAGCCTGTCTCTTCTCTAAAATTTTAATTGATTCCTGAATTCTGTAGAATTAAGTCTATGGGAATATTGATATATACAAGTATTACCTTAAGGCCTAGTGTCATCTGAATCTTGGTTGACCCCCACCCCCGAATTCCAATTCAGATGGACTTCCAAATTTGTAATTATGGCCTTTCTTTTTTTCCCTTCACTAAGCAACCCAGAGATTGAACTTGGTACTTTTAAAGAAATAATTCACCTGTTATTTTTATACACTAGGCCGTGGTAAATAAGAAAACAAAAAAACACGTGTGTGTGTGTGTGAGAGAAAGGGAGATACACACTTACATTACATATGTATATTCTGTGTATAAAAAGACTTAAGAGATTTGTCTAAATTATTGCAGTGTGTATTGCAGAATGTATTAACATCTGTACGTTATATGCACCTAAGTGCATTCATTGGTTTTATGAAGTTGTACCCAACCAGAATATACATCTCCATCGTCTAACTTTCTGTTGCAAGCTGACATGACACTTTTTCACCGTTTTCTTCTTGCAACTTTTGCTTTACTTTATTGCTTTCAGATGATTTGTATAACTTGTCTGCTTCCATCTTTCAATATTGACTGTGGCACGTCCTCTCCAATATCCTCAAGGGCTTAAAAAAAAACATCAGCTTATTGGGGAGCTATTATTGCTAATAAGATGGGCAAGAAAATCTGCTCAAATTTTTTAATGCTTTTAATTTCATGTTTTTAATTTCATGTTTTTAATTTCATGTTTTTACAGCTTTCATCATCTTTGCTTCACTTCAATGTTAGCTTTTTGCAATTCAAATAATATTGGTGATAAATATAAGTAGTAATAAATGTTTATTGATGAGAAAATGTTGTTTACTTTATTGAGAAGTAATTTCTTCCTCAAATTGAGTTACACACAGATGTGCATGCACATAGAGTTCAAAAGAAAATGGCATCTAAGATTTGACATTGTTTCTACAATAAATTTGTTTATATTTTTGAGAGTTTATTTAAGAAAAAACTACTGAAAAATAAAGAGTTTCTTTGTAGTTTTGTTGATAAACTTATAAAATGAGAAAGAAAATAAAAGACTTGTAAGAAGAAAAATTAAGGATTATCTTGCTTTTGTTGCTCTTATTTTCTAGTATTTATATCAATTTAGCTTTTTATTTCTTCAAATGTTTACTTTTATTTCTTGTCTTGTCTCTCTACTGTACTTCCCTCTCTTTCTGCTGTCCCCCCTCGCCATCCAACTTCTTCCTCTCTCTCTTTCTGCCTGCCGTCCTCTCTCTCTCTCTCTCTCTCCTCTCTCTCTCTCTCTCTGCTGCCGTCTCTCTCTCTCTCTCTCTCTCTGCCTGCCGTCCTCTCTCTCTCTCTCTCTCTCTCTCTCTCTCTCTCTCTCTCTGCCTGCCGTCCTCTCTCTCTCTCTCTCTCTGCCTGCCGTCCTCCCCCCCATCTCTCTCTGCCTTCTCCTCACTTTTTTTTCCTTCCTTCCTTTCTGACTCCCTTCTCTTTTCCCTCCCTCACATTCTTATTCTCACAAACTTTATTTTTCTCCTTTCTTTCAGTATCTCTTGAATCAGTTTGTTAGAATTTCTTGCAATTTTGTCATAAAATCCACCATTTCTTTCACTGTACACTTCAATCTCTTTACTACCATTCTCTGCCAGCCTGGAAATAAGGATTTTACTGCCCAAACAGTTCATTACCCAGTTAAAAGCAATTCTTAAAGAGTAATTTCTTTTTCTTTGACTTATGTTTTATATCTTCTGTCCATTTCTACTTTCCATCTGTTAATTCTTCACTTGTTTGTTATCTTATCAAATGCCTGTTAGCAACCAATACTTGAAATCTGGAAGGTCTCTTCTAAGCAACTCTGTCAAGATTGTGAGGTGAAGTTGATTCTGTAGGTCAAAGGTCTTCTACAACAGCTTACTAATATTCCCCCAACTAGTAACAACATAGATATTTGGTAGATTATCCAAGTAATGTGGTAATCTTTCTCTTCAAAATTTTTTTTTTTATCTTTCACCCACATCAGTTTTTATTTTGGATGAGTCCACAGAATATTGCCTGCCTTTTCACTTCACTTATCCCCCCTACGACTTTTGGTAAATGTCTCTAAATATTCCTCTTGTAATTCTCTTCCATTTTCACTCTGTCATCTGCTTGTATACTTTTCTAAATTTGGATTGTTCCTTGGTATTTGCTTATCCCCCCACCTACAGAGAGCATGATTTTACAATCACTCAATATTTTCTCATCCCTTCTCTTTCTTTCTGCTTTCATTCAGCTCTCTCTCTCTCCCTCTCTCTCTTTTTAACCCCACCTAGCTTAGTTCTCCCCCCTCTCTCTCTAGTTCTATTTACATTTTCTCATCACTTTCTTTTTACTTTCATTCTTTTCCTTTACCTTTTCTTTTATATTGGTGTCTTTCTCCCATTTTCATAAAGATTGCAAACTGTTTCTAGCATAGTTTTCTTTTCTTGCCCTGTGTGTGTGTGTGTGTGTATATATATATATATATATATATATATACACACACACACACCTGTTATATGATAGTCTTTTAATATTTTTGCCATTAAAGTAACATCATCCATAATTCAGCTTTCTTGTGAGATATTCAAATTTAAGCAAGATTTCATTACACAGTTATGGGAAGCTGACTAATTAGTCAATTTACCTTTGGACAGTGTTAACAGGTAACAGACACCTGCTGTATGTTTTGTGCTTTCCAAAGTAATCGATACTGGTCTCACTCCCTCCCTCACACTCTCTCTCTCTCTTTCAACCATCATTATCATCAATCCCTGTACATGTTTGTAGTCATCTTTTCAATTTTATCCTTACAGTCCTCACAAACATTGATTTTTACCAACCCAAGGTTAAGTTGTAAGCACAACAAATAAAAAATCTTAAAATTGTTTGCAAATCAATTGCGCTTGAATGAAGGAGACATTCCTGCATAATGACATATATCGAGTCCGATTTGGTTTGCTAAATAATTATTTAAGAAACATAGTCAAATGAAGAAAACTATTTTCTTTTAAATTCATAAAATGATTCTACTGGGGTTTTTTTTATCCATCAATTAATTATAGCAACATGTTTTAATTATAGGACATTTGTCATCTTCTTGACTGGAAGATATAAAAGGAATTGATAAATTCCTAGAATTCTAACTGAAAGTACCCCTTCCTAATATTAAATAATATTTTGCCACTGTCTTCTGCTAAATGATTTTTGCTGTGATGAGATCCAAAAGGTTCCTTTAATAAGTAACCAATTTCATTTGTTTGTGGATTAAACTGTTGTTACTATGCTTTACATGTTAAAACTTTAACCATAGAGCTATTTCATGGTTCGTTTAATCCCAATAATGCATTGCAATTATAGGGTGACTGAAATGGGAATTGTATTTCAACCTCTAATTATCTGAGGGATATCTGAGTGTCAGTTGGGAGTGTTTAGGGTTTGACACATGGAACATTTTCAGCTTCCAAGTGGGTTGGTCTTTCACGCTTACCTTACCTTACGCTTACTTGACAATTTGGAAAAAGTGCAATTAAAGTTGTTGACATCTTCAAAAATATTAGTGATTAGTTTTTCTACCTGAACTCTGGTGGGGTGTGTGTGTGGAGAAGATGCATGATATGAATACAGTGGCAGGTGCAAGAGAATAGGGTGGGATTGGTTACATGTGGCTATTTGTTTAGTCCCGCCCTCTGTTTAACTGGGTCAATTTAGTGCAGACTGAGCATATATAATGTGTGTGTATGCCTGTTTCAAATTGTTGTTAATCTATTGTTATGAATAATGTTAAATGTTGAATTTTCTGATGGTTAGTTTATGTAAGTTGGTCATACGAGGAACAAAAGGATAGTTTAAAAATCTAACGAAAACAATTAGAAAAATTATCACTGTAGCATTTTTGATCTGTAGTCAGATTATGATAATGAGATAAAAGCCAAAGATTTGTTTGTCTTTTTGCTGTCTCTCTCTCTCTCTCTATCTCTCTCCCTCTTCCCCCCAATAAACCAAATGTGCTTGAGCAGGTGAACAGATTTGTATGTATCTTACTTCATGTCCTTCCTTTTCTTAATATTGACTTAAGTATTACGCAAGACCCAATGGGAGTAACAGAAAGAGTGGAAAGATTGTGCTATGCTCATTTTCTGGGGTCCAAGAAGGCTTACCTCCTAGAAAAGCAGCATTAAAAAATGCTGGACTTAAACATTGACCTTTGTCACCATTGTTCAAAAATACAACTATTTGAGGTATATTAAAAATCTCATTCCTTCCTCTGTTTCTTTACAGGTATATTCCAAAAGTGGATTCTAGCTCACTTTCTTTTACTTTTTTTGGGGGGGGGCACTTTTCTTTTTCATAAAATGTGTGTCAGCCCAATTTTATTATGCAAGTTGATGTTTTCACAAATAACACTCATATTAATCATCTGATGCTGGTAAAAAATTTTAATAAATACTTAAGATAAATATACCTTTTTTTTAAGTATTGTGCCCCAAGCAAGGCGTGAAGCCACTAGGATGCAGGGGGTTTGGAGCAAGAGCAGATAAGAGTGCTAGGAGAAAGGAAGAGGAGAAGGATAGTGGGTAGATCAAGGTAATTGGAGATGTCGATTGACATTACATTTGAATAGTTGGAGATTATAGCTTTCAGGAAACAGTAATTGGGGAGGGTGTTCCACTGGCGAGAGGTGCGAGGTATGGAGCTATTGGAGTAGAAGAGACGGCTACATTTGAAGGTTTCTACGGTTGTAAGGGTGAGAGCGGGATGCCAGCCTCGTGAGGGCGCTTGAATTCATGGAGTCTGGGAACCAGAGAGCAGCTCATCAGAGCAGTTACCATGGAAGTATTTGTAGAAAAGACAGAGAGAGGCGACGGCGTCTGTGAGAGAGTGACTGCAAGCAAGGCGCTAGATCAGGGCCAATTAGATTACATATCCTTCTCTGGATCTTGTCGAGAACTCCGAGGTAAGCGGAAGGTGCTCCAGCCCATATATGGCAGCAATACTCCATGCAAGGGCTTAATGGTTGTTTTATATATTTGAAGTATCGATTCAGGGAGAAAAATTTCCTGGCGGCGGCACAGAGAGCCAACTTTCCTCATGATTGGAAGAAGCAATTGACTCAATATATTTGTTCCATCTCAGGTCAGCAGTCAGCGTGAGACCGAGCAGACGCGGGAGTTGCTCTCAGGAAGTTGACTATCAGACATTTTAATGGGGGCAGGGAAGGATCTCTATGGTGGTTAATGGAGAGTAATTTAGTTTTAGTGGCGTTAAAGTTGACCAGCCAATTCTTGCCCCAGTTAACAACCGATTGGAGGTCCATTTCAAGACCTTGCACGGCCAGGTTAGTTTTGTCGCCGACACTAGACTTGTTTTTTGAGGCATGAGTAAATTGTAGTGTCGTCTGCATAGATGCCGACCTGGGAATCTATAGCTTCAGGAAGGTCGTTGATGAAAATGAGGAAAAGAGTGGGGCCAAGGATGGAGCCTTGGGGCACACCTGCGTTAATGGGATAGGAACTGGAGGAGAATCCGTTGAGAACGACCTTCAATTCTCAGTTAGACAGGAATGATTGTATTAGATCAAACAGTTGACCAGTAACACCATACCCCTGGAGCTTACGAAGAAGGCCGGCATGCCAAACCCTATCGAATGCTTTGGAGATGTCGAGGGCCACAGCACGAGCCTCACCGTTATTTTGAAGGGCTTGGTAGACAGTTTCAGTGATGGCCGTAAGCACATCAGCTGTAGATCTGGCGTAGCGGAAACCATGAATTTCACCTTTTATAATGTTTTTATTAAGACCTGTTTACAATAATTAATTTGGTGGTATGAGCTTTTATTATGTAACTCATGAGTCCATCATGATATTGGAAATTTATAGTTATTGGTGTTAACTTTTTAATTTCAGATATGTAAACATTTCCATGAGTCATAAAGAACATATAACCTGAAAAGAGAAAGACTATTTTTAAGTTATTGGATAATAGGAATAAATCTTTAGGAATTGTGAAAAAGTTACAGAGATTATACCCCCCCACCCCCAAAAAATGAAAATATTGGCAAAAACAAGAAAAAAACTGTCTAAGAAAGAATGTCCCAAAAAGACATTTGGCAAAGGTTAAAAGGTTAACAAGAAAAATGGATTGAGCTACAAGAATAATATTTGGAGAAACTGTCATTGTAAATATAAACAGTAAAAAGATACAGAATATTAAGAACATTGGCTAAAGACATTAAAACTGATTCATGAACACTAATCTTTAGTGATGAATGTAGAGCTACATTGGATGGACTCTATGGCCAGTCTTAGTTAAAGGAAATAGTCAATAAATAATCACAGAGACAGGTTGAGTAATGATTGTAGTTAGTACTGTCTGCATTAGTCCCTTTTTAAAGTTGATAAATGTTGAGAATTATTTCAGTTGTTGGACAAGACATTTTTTTGAGTAATGCTTACCACAACTAAGAAGGTCAATGCTGAAGTGTGTAGTCAATCAAGGCAATGTAATTCGTATCCTATAAAGCTGACTGTTGTTGTCCACTTTGCCAAAGAG